CGAAGCAGCCTGAAATCACGCTCCACGGAGCAACCTTCTCAAGTGTGCCAGTAGGAAAGCGACTGTTGATGCTTGCAAGGATGGGTTCCACTCTCACATAGTCATCGTCCGCATCCCTTCGTCATCCTCACGTCACTACCATCAATCGAACGATTCACCTCCCAAACGTTTGTGGCTACGCCTAAGTCAGGAGAGACAGATCAGGGCTTCCTTCCTCACCAGTCTTCGCACCGATGCGCACCTTGGCCGCCACATATCCGAGCCCGTATCGGGCTGGCTGAAGGCTCAGGCGATCGGCAATCACCTGGGCCACGTAAGGGGGGGGTGAAAAGAACGCCCCAATGGCGGGGGGGGATGAGGTGAAACCGTTTGAACACCAAGGGCACTTGGCACACAATGCTGGGTGAACACCGGCGATTGCCGCGGTGTAGACTCGAAAATGCAGGGCCTTCCAGCCTGGATTTCACCTAGCGCGGCCCTGGCTGGCACAAAAGAATTGCCATTTATGGTACAAGAAATGTAGACTTCGCTTCCAAGATAGTTGTAATGGCACACTGGCCACCCCTCCTAAAATGATCTAAAATGACCATATTCATGAACATGCATTTCGTGCATGTGTTGAAGGACCTGCAACCTGGTCCTGTAAAACTTGGGCTGCAACACTTCGATTGGCAAAACACTCGGTCTTTTCTCTGCCCGAAACTCACCATGCCGGGCGCTTGACTTGGACCGTTCCAACCCGACGACGTGAGCGATCCAAGATATCGATCGGCAGTCGAGGTCTCGGTGCCAGACGGAAGATGGTCCAATCTCCTGTTGTGAGAGCACCGGTGAATACCAGCGACACCGCTCTTTCAAGTGATACCGCCGCTGTCGAACACCCACCCTGCTTCCGGCGCTGTCAGCCGGCGGGTCCCCGCCGGCAGATCCCAGCCGGCGCGCCTCGGAAAGGATGCCCAACTTGAGCTTCTCTTCCAGCTCGGCCGCCAGGCGCGCGTTGGGTTTCCTCATGTTCCACACCGCAGCAGATGATGGCGAGCTCTCGGTCGGCGGACGGCGGACGGTTCGCTGGAAGCAGGAACCGGTGGTCTGGGTGACTTGTGTCAAAGAAGAGCTGTGCTTTGGTCAAGCTGAGTTCAAACCTGCAATTTCACGCCAGTGACAGAATCTCCTAACAATAATATCGACATGCTTATCTACATTTACAGAGACAGAGAGGGAGAAAGAGAGATCCATATAATGATTAATATGTGTATGTGTGTGGTTATATCTATGGTAGTTACGACGAATTGGGGGATCCAGCTCTACAGTGGCACCCTCTGTAGCAACGTCGATGCTGCTTCCGCTCGCTTCCGATCTGGGCTCCAAAGGGATAGAGTGATAGCTAGCATCCGTTTCCGACCTACCAAAGAGGGTGTCAGTATGTGACATCCAACCGACCCTTCAAGAAAAAATTGGTGCATACAAATCATTTAAAAAAGAACATGCCATTAAATGCACCAGTGTTCTTGTATCCTTGTGGGACGTGACTGAAATTGCATCTGCTCTTGTGTGCAGTGCCGGAAAGCCTTTCCATTTATTTAGGCCTCCTAAGCTCCCCTAAAACTGTAATTACGTATCAAAAATGAGCAAACTCCACCAACAAGTCAACTCCAACAACTCAACTCTGGTTACCCTCCAAGTTACCACCCCAGCCTGCTAACATAGACATGCAAATATATATATATATATCCAAAAGAAGTTAGTAGGGTCCAGCTTTCAGAGGAGTAGGCAATCTGAACGAGAATTTCTCCAAACGCGTACAGCACGTCGCTAAACCATCCAGCTTAACCGTGTCAACCAGAAATTGTACATTTGAAAAAATGTGCATTGTTGACTTTGGTGTAACAATTTTTATATTGGGTATGTATTATGTAAAAAACATGTATTGAGTAATAGCATGTAATACATGTAATAGTGGTGAACGCGATATCCCTTATGGTGCCGCCTCGGTGGAAGAAGACCTTCCCATTGTGCATATAAACCAATTGATCACTTGATATCATATGCAATAATTGGAAAATAGCTTGCCAATGTATATGTGTTCTTGAGCATATATTGACCCGGAGAAATAACTTATGAGACCCGGAGAAAATAGGGACCCGCACTAGACGCGGAAAAACCCGGACTCTGAGCGGAAAAACCCGATATCAGGAGCATGTAATGGTGTTACTTGAGCATGCATTGGGCATGTCAATGATCTATTACATGTTATAGTTATAGCCATTGGGCCCATATGGAGACTCTACCGAGCCGTGCCTGGAGTATCCTGGAGTTGTTCGGAACTGGTTGATGGGGCAGCCATGCTTGCTGATGATGAATACTAGATAATCAACCCGGAGAAATTCGAGTTGAGCATGTACTTAGTAAAAATGTAACTTGTATTTTAAATAAGCTATAATTGATTTTTTGGAGTATGTATTTTTCAAATATGTACATTTTGGAAGACGGTGTAACAATTCTAGCACTTTTGGTTTAGCTGGATGCTAAACCATCAATCCATCAAGAGTCGGGACTCACCCAAAGGATTGCCAAGTCGAACCTGTTAAGAACGTGTCAATGTGTGTAGCTTCTCCAGCTTCTCCAGTCCCAGCTTCTCCAGCTGTTGCAGCGCTTCTTGCGCCGAAAACAGCTGGCCCTTCGCCAAGTGGTCACTGATACCTCTCGCAGCCGGGTGCCGCTGAGACGAAATCCAAGGAGGCCAGGAAGGTCAGCAGATTCAACTCAATACGGTGAGAACATAGGTTTTAGGGTTTAGGGAGCATGATGTGATGCGATCTCCCCTCCGGCGCGGGGAACCACCCTAGGCTTTAGAATCGTCCAACTCCGGGGTCGCCACGTGGCCCCCCGCCGTCATGTTCCTCCAGTGCAACATCACATCTAACTTGTTCAATCTTGTTCAAAGGATAATACATGCAAAGACCGTTTTCTTTGCCCCTCTTGAGGGTGAGTAAAAACTATAGAAGCCCCAGCAAGGAAATAGTGGACGAGGGTTGGTAAGCTACCAAAAACTACCGACGCATGGGGGACATGGGACGCCCAAGCCACACTCCTACTGTAGGCACTATAAACATCAACATAAGTGGTATTGTAGGTGTGCGGTCCCCCTGCATTAGTTGTATTCTGTATGCTCGGTGTGTACTGAAGGGGTGCACTTGGTCCCTCAAGTTATATGTGTATATGTATAGATATATAGTTATATATATATATATCTCTCTCTCTCTCTCTGGTCGTTGACGATTGCCGGCTTGTCTCATCTGTTCTGGGAAACCCCGTGGGCGTGGCTTCCTCAAGACACCCTTTCCATCCATGTTCTTTCCAAACGAATGCGGCCGAGGTGGTTCTGCCTTACACCACAATGAAATCCTATAGCCCAAGACCCTGTAGATTCAGCGGGTATAAGTGGAAACCCCTGCGGAGTTCCACTGTGAATTTTGGTGTGATGGAGTGATTGAGTGATTTGGGAAGAGAACCTGCCTATACATGCGTAGATGCATCATATGCGCCTTTTCTGCATGTCATGTCTTCGTCCTGGTTTGTGGTCCAAATTGCTGTAGAAAATTGTTTGTTGTTGCAAATGCGTTGGTGCATCTGTCTCTGAATCATCATAATCATACCAATCCCCTTTGCACAGTCTGCCCCACAGAAGGAAAATTGCCATTCTTGCAGTGGGGTCCCCTACCTAATGTAGACTCTTGATTAGTAAACCCTCCCAATTGAAGTGGACATCCTCTTCATATGGGGGTGAAATAGAATCAAGAGTCTACATGATCCAAAAATATCCACTAAGCCTCCCAAGCTGTCAGCTCTATCGGACTCTATCGGCATCTATCGGCCGCTAGAGGGGCCCATCACGGCGGCCGACGTTCTCCCAAGCGAGGCGCGGTTCTCCGGCGTCTCAGCTTTCTGGCACTGCAACTTGTGCACCTGGTGGCGGTCGGTGTTCAGGAAGCCCCAACAGGCTGTAATGGGAAAATCCATCGAGCATGGCCACTAGCATGGGCCATGGCCTAATTAAGTCTACTGATGGTAGTCTTGTCGCATCAAACACCGCCACTGTCGTGTCATGTCGACTTGTCAAACACTGCTGCCTTCAAAAGCACGAACCTTTAGCAACGATGCGAAAAACCTGCGCACGACAACACTACCAAAAACATCCAAAAACAAAAAAAACAGCGAAAACCTGCGAAAACAGAGCCTACTCTGGGGTCCAGCGAGTCAGCACGACAGCATGGCCCAACTTCGACATCGTGACCATGTGACCTATGCCACGCCAGAATGACAACATGCCAACGTGACACCACACAAGCATGTCAGCCTGACAACACAAATCACGTCAGCGCATTGGCACCATCTCCGTCCGAGAGACACAGCGCATCTGCAGACGTTTCCGGAACTTTCACCAAACCTCGCCCGAATACCCGGAACCTCCTCTGCAACCTCCTCCGGAACCCGCTCCGGCACCTGCCCCCAACTTGCTGCGAAACCTCCTCCGGGAACTTGCTCCGGAACCTGCTGCGGGAACCTGCTCCGATCTGCTCCGAAGTCTTTGCTGTGGCTGAAGACCTCTAAGCTTGGGATATATTTTATAACATGGAAAACTGCTTGACCACGCGCGTTCCTATCGTTCCTGTGACATCTCCTGGAAAATCTTGGAGATCGGACAGCTCTCTTCGACTCCATTCTTGGCCTGATGAAGACGTGGTTTTCATAGGGAGGCCATGAGGCACAGCTCTTTCTTCCACCAATCCCTCGCATCCCGTTCAACCACTTCACGGCGAACATACGAAGGACGACGGAAAAAACTGACGAATCCCTTGGACTTGAACGTTTATGCTCACTTGGACTTGGAATACGGAAGGCCAGGGAAGGCTGTGCCAAAATCGAGTCCTGAAAAGGATGCAAGTGCCGGCCTAATCGTGATACTATAGAACAGAAAAGGATCTAAGTCTGAAGGTAAATCATGTTAAATCTGCAGGTCTCCAAGCCTTCCAATCCTTGCGCTGGCATTCGGCGGAGCAATATGCTGCTTTGCCACAGCGGCTGCACCTCGTTGTTGGGCCAGGTCGATTGTTGGAATCCGATGGTTGTCCGGATGTTTCTGCAGGAAAGACTGGCACGACATGACTGCCATGAAAATCATAGTTGCGTGCGAAATACCTGGATCTTCCAACTATGTGAAATTTCTGCCTTTGGGGTGTTGCTCATGGATGCAAATGCAAAAATGCCGTTCACAGTTAGAAGATCCAGGTGCGTATGTCACTCTTCACTGAGTTTTGGAAGACTTTCGGGGCTTCATCTCCACGCAGGAGAAACGGCAGAGGAACGGCGGAGGACCGCCACCAAACCCTCCGAGCCCTCGAAGCAATCCATGGTGATGCCCAGTGGCAGCTTGCTGCCGGTGCTTTCGCAGCCTGGCGCTGCACAAGGAAAGCTGTCCTCCATGGCTCCCAGAGTGGTCTCAGTGGTCTCAGTGGCCTCAAGGTGCCAAAGATCGGGTGTCCAAACCCCCCCAATTTCCCCGGGTGACTTCTTTGAGCTGATGCTTCTCCGATCAAAAGCACTCCATGCAAGGCACCAGTTGTTGCCCGCTGCTCTGTTGTTGCTCTGTCTGTGTTCGCTTTTGCTTGGCTGTTAGCCGCTTGACATCGCCATGTGTCCATCTGTAGAAGGGTTTGGGCATCTTTGGAAGTCCACAGCTCCATGTTCAGCCGTGTGTTTTTGGCACAACCGAGCAAAAACCTTCAAAACGTTCAACACACTGGCTCCGTCAAAAAGCGTTCTTTCCGGTTCTTTCCTACACACTTGCACATCTTGCACACTGAAGCCAAGAAGGTGCAACTTCTGAAGGCAAAAAAAAATCACCGCCACTTCTAACGTGAGGATATGCGCGCCAAGTAGACAAGCATTTGGTGGCAACCTTGAAGGCAACCGCCGAAACGCCGGCCATCGCACATGAGATGACATAACTATTTTGCCAACATGAACTCCTTCTCAGAAGTTTGTTCCATCATTGAATTCACATTAAAATGTATTTCTTTTATTGATTTGACCTGGTTGGGGGAGAGCCCATCACCTCAACCTTCTGCTCTGCTTCTCCATCATCCTCGGCTCCCCTGCGTCTTTGTCTCGGTCTCGGAGCGAGCCGCCGGCACCCGCCAGGAGGCGGCTGGAAGGCGCCTTCGTGGGGGGTGACAAGGGTGTGGGGGGAGTGACGCATCCTAAAAGATGTGCCCTGGGTGTGTTTGAATTGCAATTACCTATAGAACCTGATTGACCCCTGTTTAGGAGCCAAAACGTGGTCTTTTCTGATCAAAACAAAAGTCAAATGGGCTTAGGTATCGATGTATAGTGGTTATAGAGAACCCCCCCTGGCCGGCCCACTACTTGTAGGTGGTTGGGTCAATGGTTTGTCGTGTTTTTGGCGGGATGTTTTTGGGTCAAGGCTTCTTCTTCCAGTGCGGTCTTTTGAACTCTCCCTACTTCAGGTTGTACTTCTCCAGCCGCTCGTTTCAGGGGGGGGCAGCTGGAGACGTGGCCCAGCTGGAGACGTGGCCCAGCTGGAAATGAAGTGAAGAAGTCTAAGACACTGTCTAAGACTTATGTCATATTGATCTGATAGTGATAGTCTTCATCTAACACACAGTCTAACACTATCACATACTATCACTGATATAGATCCTGCTATGACTGTGATCACTGTATATCGATCCGATAGCGTTTAAGTCTTGCCCACGGTTACTGGGATTGGAACATCGGGGTTCATTGGAACATCGAGGTTCATTGGAACATCGGACCAAAAAGAAAACAAGTCGCTTTGCTCATCGACCGGACGGTTCGCTTTGCTCATCGACCGGACTTTCAGGAGTGACCGGACGGACTCCGGACTCCCAACCAATTGATCGTTGATCTCCACGGTCTGAGCTCCCCACAACGGAGCGCCCGCGTGGGCTGAAGCCTGTGCTGCCTGCGCTGCTTGTGCTGCCTGCACCTGCTGAGCCGCCTGCACCTGCTGAGCCACCTGGCGGCTTTGGGCGTTTGACTGAGAATCCGACCTGACAGCTTAGCAGGCACTCCAGACTCATCCATACTCCAGGAATACCACGAATCATGGCAGGGATCACTTGAGTACTTTTGATGGACCAGATCCTTGTTTGAAGGTGGAATACGTGGTGGACATCTCATGCGTTGTTGCCCTCGCAAACACCCAACTAATCCAAGACAAAAGCTTTGGATTTGTAGAAGTTGATACTTAATATTGCTTTATGAATCGTGCCAATGATAGCAGGTTCCTCACAGCCGAAGATCTAAACCACTGGTTGGTCAGAAAGGTCTAGCCGGTAAACGATGACAATTGATCAAATGGACGAGCACAAATCACCATGGCCGCCCATGGCCCAAGCACCAACACAGCCACCTTTACCAAACCCAAGAGGTGGGCTGTGTTAATCTCCAAACAGTCGTGGTCATGTGTCATCTTCTTGAAACCCCTCGTAGGGGTGAAATCGGACACCAACTCGGCCAGTAGTGATTGTCCGTGTTGACTGCGTTGTTGACGCACACAATCACCACCTTGCCTGCGCCTGTGCCACATACGCTTGCGCCGCTTGTGCGGCTTGCGCCGCTTGTGCGGCTTGTGCCGCTTGTGCCACATAGGCCGCTTGAGCCGCGTAGCCGCCATAGCCGGCTGCGGCATAGGCGGCCCCCCAAACATCTGCGGGCGAAGTGCCTGGCACCACGGCCGTTGGGATGTGTTTTATCGACAGGTTTTGGGAGACGTGTGGACTGTTTCTCAGCCATCCCTAGAAAACAAAACATGGAGGTGTCCAAACAACGAGGCGATCGCCGCCGGCGCGTCTCTTTCTCAGGCTCGCAGCCATGTGTTCTTCATCAGTCGCTGCACCTGGCAGTTCGGCAGATCGGGCCCTTTCCGGTGGCTCGGTGACGCTCGGTGCTCCCGGCCTTCTAAGCGAACCAAGATGGTGGCGACTCTCAGTGGAACTGTTCCTTCTGTCGCCACAACACAACACAAAGGAACTGCATGGACTCCGGCGCTCCCGCTGCAGGCTCTTGTCGGAGCGCCCCGGAGCTCCATCGCTGGGGGGGCCAATCCTTCCTTCCAGAAACCGGTCCCGGCGACGGAAAGAAACCGCCGTGTTTCGCATGCTGAGCGTCAGAAACTCAAGAGTTCATCCAGATGCAAACACCGGCGTTTCCAAACATGAGAAACACCAGGTGTTTGCCATTGAGCGTCAGGTGGTTTTTTCAAACACCTGATTGAAACATCCTACGCGTTGGTTCCAACCAGGAAAATACATGGACCATCCACGCCAAACTCCCCCGCCCCATCTGCCCACACCTCGCGGTGCACGCCGTGTGAGGCCAGCGCTTTAACGCCACCATTGCCGCGAGGAGTTCCAATCCTGCCAACTGCTCTCGGCGCTGGCGGCTTCTTCTAATGCCACAGGCACCTCCTGCTCACATCGCTGAAGGACGTCCTGGCCCGTGGTTTCCATGGCTGCACGGAACTCTTTGTCGTGGGAGGTTCGGGGTGAATACCAGAAGTTCCAACAAGCATGCCGCTGCCAGGTGCCAGTTCAGTTTGTTTTTCCACTTCCATAATAACTTCCATACCCATAGGGAAAAAAGACATGTTCCAACTGTCAGAAGTGATGGGGAAAATTGTTTTGTCGTTGATCTACTGGCTCTGGCGTAGAAATAGTTCTCTTAAGGACGTACATACCTGGGTATGTAGCATCGTCGAACAGCCTTTTCGATTATATGACACAGCTTCTTCCCCAGAGCATCGGAGAGAAAGAAACATTGCCACAACGTCAACGGAACTTCAATAGGAACCATGTCCAAATATGTCCCAATTCCAACCACTGGTTGAGGGGAAGAGCCTGAAGACGGGGTATGGATGACGCCTTCCCAACTTTGACGCCCTGGCCGGGTGAGCTGGCTCTATCACTTCGCAGGCACCCCAGTTCCTGCCACCCCTGAAGCTGCAAAGTTCCATCAAAGGGTGCGACGAGCGTGCCAACATGGCCATCGAAAAACTTGAGAGAGGAGGGGGGTGAACGAAAGGTAGCAGGGAATCAGGCGTAATCCGGGAGGAGGTGAGAGGCCCCCCACTTGTTTGAAGAGAAGTGAGTGAGCGTGATGAAAGAAAAACTAATGCACAAACGCTTGACAAAACCTCCAGAAGCTGTAGCGGTCTAGCGGTTTCAATACAGGTTGACGTGCCTTCAAAGGAGTCACATATTTCTCAAGTGCAAATTCGGATTTACATAGTGACGTGCGGCGACCCTGTAAATTGCGTGGCCGCAGGCCATGCTTGCAAACAGGACGTGCTCAAAAACACTGGTATTTACGAGGTTTCGTTGCCGTCGATCCACAGCCGCGGCAAGGTCTAAGGCCACGCTTGAAGACAGGAGGAGCTGAAAACACTGGTATTTACGGTATTTTGTAGCCGTCGATCCAAAGGCGCACCACGGTTGAGCGCTGGAAAAGCGCAGAAAACCGTGTAAATACCGGCGTTTTCTGCCGGGAAGGTGCGCAAAACCCTGTAAATACCATAGTTTTGTGCAATTTTGAAGCCTCCAAAAGCCTCAAAAACCCTTTCTGACAAAATCTTTCCTGGTTTTTGGTCTTTTTTCGGTCATTTTTCTAACCGAGACGCATCAAAAACCATCGCTTTTTGCGGTGTTTTTTGCCGGACAGCCACAAAAAACGCTGTAAATTCCATGATTTTTGGTCACTGCTGAGGACTGGAAGAGCTGAAAACACTGATATTTACAGTGTTTTCGAACGGTTGACCCCGAGGCGCGCTAGGGTGGAGTTGAAAGGGGGGAGGGGGGGGGGCCCCCCCCCCGGCCAGCAAACGAAGATGTCGGGGACCATTTCTTCGAGAGATAGGCTGCAGCTCTGGGTTAATACATTTTTGCTAAAGCAAAAGGAAAACTCAGGTAGCGTAACCGCTACCTTTCGTGAAAAAAATAGAGTAATAACATGTAATAACTTAATAATAGTAATAAAATAGAAATATATATATTGATATATATTGATATATATATATATGTGTGTGTGTGTTAATTAATAAAATAAATAAAAGAAATAAAAGAAAACACAACACAACACACTCATCTGGATGGTGCCCTGAAGACATGCGCTACACCATGGAGTGGAGAGTGCCCAGCTCTCCTGCAATTCTTTTGCCAAGTAGGCATTCCAATACCTCACCCGTCAATGGAGCCGCATCCAACGATTCCGAGCCCCATCTGGCAAAGGGGGACCACTGTAGAAATGGGGAACCCCCCAAACCCAAGCTTGGCAAAGCCTGCATACTGAGCCTACTGCTGGCACTTCTTGGGCTCTTAACTGGTTTGGGGTATGACCGGTATGACATGGTATGACCCAGTCACTCAGTTTGAGGTCTGCAACCATCATCGTACCTCTGTCACAACTCGGTGGGCCTCGTACGGTGGGCCGTCTACGGCGGTCGCAGTCCGGATTGGATCTGCAGCCCCGGAGGGTGTCCCTCCCTTTGAGGGGCTTATGAATTCGGCCCAGTGGACCTGGCGTTGGTCCACCAAGCAACGATTCCAACCCAAATGGTTGGGGGATGAATTCCATAGAATTCTACAAACACATCTCCCTGGTCATACAGAAACCTTCTTTGATCTTTTTTATATCATGTTTTATGGTTTCCTGTGAGGCCTTCCAAAGATCTGCCAAGTGCTCAAAATGGCCACCAAAAGCCTGCACTTGTACAGCCACCCTTGCACTTCCATTGGCCAAGTCCTCCCAACACCAACACCGTCGCACCACCCGTCCCACGTTCCACCGCCCTCGCCGGCCCTCGCCGTACCACGCCCCAGCGGCTGCCGATGGAAGAGGGAGACTGCCTTGCCCTGGCGGCCATTACGCCCCGTCCGTCCAACTCGGTGGATGTAGGTCTCAATGTCCTCGGTGCACCGACGCGCGTCGGCCGAGAGCACCGCGGTCGGCCGAGTCGGAGCCTCTCCCCTCCAGCTCCAAACGTCTAAGGCTGACCTCCCGAGCCAGGTGCTTGGGAAAAGAAGGCTGACCGAACTGTTCACCTGTTGACATCTGAGTGGGGCATGGCCCAATCCCTCAAAAAGGTTCAAGGACTGGTTCAAGGTTATACCATGTTCTACCGAGTTATACCACTAACATCCACTAACTAGATAGCTAGGATTAGCATGGATTAGCTATAGGCATAGGCCTTTCGGGAACCCGGCTGCGGCCGCCGAACCCGGTCCGTTGTCTCGCTCGCTCGCTCTGTCCGTCGCCGCACGGGCCCACGGTCCCCCGATGCGGGGAGTCAGAAGAATGATACGTCCAGAATCCTCCCTATAGAAAAGGCAAGTTTTGGGTCGCTGACAGGGAGCGTTTTCTGTCCAAAAGATCACATTCGATGACATCGAGACATTGATAATATAGAAAAGATATGAAAAGATCGATGACACTCGAGATCTTGATGATCGGATCGCTTTCAAGATCTTTCGAGATCCGACCTTCCCAAAGGAAAACCGACCCCAAACGAAACACTTCAGCACCGGGAGTCGTCGGGGAAGTCGTAGATGAAGACCATGGTCACGTCCTGGAGGCTGGCCGAGGACCGGACCACATCGGACCCCGGTTCGAAGGACCTGACCCCACGGGAAACAATCCTCGAGATCCTCGTTCGTTGTTTCGAAATGTTTCGAATGAAGCAAGGCTGTTGGTTCGAGCCAACTCCTGAAGAAAGAACGGGAAATGCTTGGGGCTCTGCACACATCATCGGGGGACCTTCTGTCTCTTCGAATCCGAATCCGGAGACCCTTTGGACCGAAGTCTCAGCGACGGCAGCGACCTAGAGCAACGCTCGATGCGGGGTGTGACGATTCCGTGCGTATTCATGATGGTTCCGGGGAGTGTGTTGAGATGTGTTGAAACCCTTTCTCACACTCCAAGCGCATGGTGCAAGCCAAGTGCTAGCCGCTAGCCGAAGCTTTTGGGCGCCGCGCGACCATGCTCCCGCGCGCCCGAGACGTCGGCGAGTCTCCGGGATGTCCACGCCACGGCCCAGGACGTCAGTGGCGATCAGGGCCCGGGTGTGGCCCATGCGGAACTGATTGAGGGACTGCTCCTTGGGGGTGCCGGGTCCGAGGCTGAACAGTGGCACCGTGACGGCGAGGGGCGCGAGGGGCGAGGGCCGACTCTTGGTGAAGTTGGGAAGGACACATCAGAATTCCGAGGAACCGATCACAACTGTCACAACTCACAACTGTCACATCACATGATGGTTTCGCAATGCTTCGTGGGGGTCCAGGTTGGTCGGAGGATTGGTCAATGATCGTGAATTCCGGATCGCTCCCACTTCCGACCTCTGGAGAAGGAGAGTTCCGTGCCAACAGCCACAACAACCAAGCCTCTTCCGCTCCCACTTCCGACCTCGCCAAGGGTCCCGCTGCTCCTGCTTACGCTTCCCATGCATGGCATCACACTTGGAACCAAACTTCTGTTGCAGCAGTGTGGCCAAATCCTCCGCTGCGGTGATGGTCCGCACGAAGATCAGCACCTTGCCTCCACCCTGCTGCATGGGAGTCCTTGGACCAGACGGCGAATGAGCGATACCCAATTCATCGTCCTCTCTCCTTGTTTCGTCCTCTCTCGGAACAATCTGCTGGTCACCCAACGGTCGACTCCGAGTCGTGGTACCCTGTAGCTACGCAGCGTTGACCCATGGCAAAGCAGGAAGTCCATGTAGCTACGAAAAGCTGACCTTTCCCAGACAAATGTGGACATACCAAACTCCAAAGTCACTCCCATCATGGCAACCCCTACCTGCAATCCGCCAGGCATCGCGAGCTTTGAGTCCTGATGGGGCAGAATTGGTCGGCATGGGACGGGCGCAAACATGACGTCATGTTTGGCCCGTAAATGGTCAACACCACGTTTCACATCCTTTCTGCAGGTTCACTGCATTCATCCTTGGTCTTTGTCACCGGCGCCTTTGACAAGGATAGAGACCATCACAAGGTGCTCTACACTTGGCTTGTCTTGGTTCCGAGTGCCCCGGGTGGTTAGAACAGCTCCAATTCCAGTTCCAAACAGCTGATGGTTGGAGGGGGGATCCAGTCCAGTTCCAGTTCATCTTCCTGTTGATCCAGTTCTGATTCCAGTACGCTTCAATAATAGGTCCCTGACGTACATGTTTATATTTTTTCCAGCGCGGGGGGGGTCCAGTCCATGCCCCACACGTCCACACGGGTGTGTTCCAGTTTCAGATCCACTTCTGGTTCCAACACGCGTCCGATGCAACGCATCGATCACACAGCTATTTTTGTCCCTCCCGGGACCGGCGAGTTCCAGTTCCAGTGCGGGGCACTGCCAGCTTGGTTCCGTTGGGGGGGAGAGAAGCACACTTGCCAGTTAGCTTTACCGCTACGTACCAACTGCCTCCGCACGTTCCGCGTGTTCCGACCGTTTCCTTCTGGACAAGGTCCACCCGGATCGCATGGATTAGGACTCAAAAACAACGACCACAAGCAGGTGGTACCGACTGCCCGCAGTGTGTCCTCAAGGTAGCGCAAAAGGATTGGCAGCTTGCTGTCATGCTCACCATTCCTCACAAGAGAAATTACAAGGCAACACACTCACTACCACAAATATAAAAAAGTTTGGTTAATGTAGAATCCCCAGTCAGAGTTGAAAGCACAACGTTCTTTCCTGGAGCTTGATGCAAAAAAAACGGCTCAATGCCCTCCACAGCAGAATGAAGAGACCTCTGCCTCCACGCACACCCGAGCAAGGACGCTACTAGCAAAAGGGCATCGCTATGAACGGAGCAAAGACGCTACGAACGGGGCTCCTGGCCTGGCGGCCTGACTAGGAGCAAGAGGCTAGTACAGAATTAGAATTAGAGTTAAACTTAAAAGTACAGAACAACATGGAACCCAGTTTGTCGCCATTCGGCTTCCAGAGCTCATCCAGCCCGTTTGGTTTCGCTTCCTTCCTTCGTCTGGTCACCGGCCTGCTCTTAAAGTCCAACCGTTCCAACCCACTTCCACTGTTGCAGCCTGTCACATCGAACCCCTTTTTTGCCACATGTCTCCCGCCTTTTCTTCGGGGCGTCCCCACACCCCCAGAGTCACTGAGCGTCTCTGGCACCTCGACGATCTGCCGGATGGCGCTGGGCGGCAGGGCCCGGCTCTGATCTCCTGCGCGGAGCGGATTCTGCGTCGGAGCCCGCCGAGAGCACGGTGACCCCCGTGCTTTTGAAGATACGGGGCGACCGGGTCGGTGTGGGTCTTGGACGTGGGAGGGCTTCAGGCAAACAAACTGGAGGTTTGGAAGATCTGCCTATCTAACCATCAAAGGTTCACTAGGGGTCCCGAAGAGAACCAAATCGCCTGGTGCCCTGCCTCGAGAAAGGCCACGCATCCCGCAGAAGGTTCAAGTTGTTCACAATCAACTAGAGATCAACCTACCAGCCTAGGATTTCGAGAGGGCTGCGTTTGTGGATGGTAGGGGTGCCCAGAACATCCACTCAGAACCATCCGTTTGGAACTTCTGGCGCGTGTTTGTGCAGGGTTCCACACCACATGAACACATGCGAATACCTCAAAAAGATCTCAAAGGCCTCCCAAAAGCTTGGGGCCTCCCCACCCTCTTCTCATCCTCAAACATCTTCTGAGATCGGTGCCTCACCCAATTGGATGCCCAATCCCTAGCCCCCTCCAACAAGCGCCCGCCGCCCCCCGTTCCCCTCCTCGGTCTTCGAACTCTTCAGGCTCCAGAGCCACGCGTCGTGGCGCGGCGCGACACAGGGCGCGCGCCGAGCGCTCGACCGAGGGAGGCCAGGTGGCCGAGAAGAAGAGCACTTGCTTGTCGCGCCGCGCCTGGGCGAACGGCGGGAGCGCCTGCGAGGGGAGAGGGGGCGGAGAGGGGGGGCGGATGGATCGGTGGGACGGTGGGAGTGAAAGATGGCAGGTCTTGAGATCGGCCCAGTTGCGGTGCGACCGGTAGTTGCGCCTGGAGCACCTTTCAATCCTAGGTAATTAGTGCTTAACGGCCTCTGCTGGCCACCCACAAAAGCGAGCCACCCGAGAAATTTTGTCCAGTAGACGCCATAGGAGTCGCGTTTCTCCACTTCACTGCCTTTACAGTAGCCATCGAAGCTGCTGCCTCTTGTGGGCGTGGTCACGGCAGGGAAAAATATGCAGCTAAATGACATCTAGGAATTGTATGGAATTGTAGCATATGAGGTCTTGCCACCAGCGCGCATCTGCCATTGCAGCCTTCACTCTACACCCATGGATTCATGCTTGTGACCGAAAATGAGATGACATCATGACCAGTTCCCATTCTTTAAACTTTAGAATTTTAGAATGTTTCAGACCTGGCTGCGAAACATTGAGCGCACATCCGTCAAATCACAATTCATCGTAGTGCCGTACGCGCAAAGAGGGCCCTTCAAGGGTCCTCAAGGGGCAACACGAGGGAATTTCTGGCACAATGAAGGCAAGCGCCCGTTCAGCCAGCCCTCACACCGCTCAAAATCCATATTGCCTGCTGAAATGTTTGCAACAGGGTAGGCTCTCAACATTCTCCATGAAAAATGTGAGAGCGAATTCTGGCCCGTGGATCGCGGCTCATCACTTTTGGGGCCAAAACCGGCGGCGTGTAGCCCAGCCAATGAGTCTGCCAAAAAATTGGCACGCCAAAAAGAAACATGCCACGGTTGGACACGAGTTCATTCCGGAAAAACATGGTGGGGCACCCATGAGTAGCACTGGCGAGATACTTCTTGATCCCACGCGAAGCAACTCTGGCTAGCTCCCCTTGCCCCTTAATTGGTCCGAAACAATTTCGACTAAGCGCTCGACCAATCGGTCTCGCACGACCTCATTCACAACGCCAAAGCCAATGGAATTCCTGGCCAAGAAGCATGTTGTTGCTTGTGCCAATGTGCGGTTGTTTCTAGGATGGACTTGGTATGGTTGAATGACACATCGCAAACCAGTGGCGAAAGTGTGCGATCCAACACAAGCGCTGCCAGCAGGGCACAGGGTCCTGATAAGCTTCTTAATTAAAAGCTCATCTGCAGTTGAGGACGCTTGGGCGTGTTGTACATCCAAAGCACTCAGAGACTCTGTCACACGCTGCAGAGGCCCCGTGCACAGCGCATCCCTGAAGGATGCCTCAAGAGTGAATGCAGACCGAGTTGGAAATGTAGCAACTAGATCCAACTCAGCTAAGTTCTACAAGTCTCCTAAGTTCTTGTATCTTCTCGCGGAATTGTGCTTGCAAGCAAAGCCCTCCCAGCTTTCGGGCTTTACAATTCATGATCAAAGAACGAGTGAAAGCCACATGAAAATGAACAGATGGTTTTTCATGTTTTTCTTTTACAGCTTGAAGCCACCCAAGCTGCAGCCCAAAGAATCTCAGAACCCTGCAAGCTTTGACCCAAGGAAACTAATAGCCAATAGGATAAGACATGCACCACCCACTTGATAGTGGATCTTGTAAAGGGGGGCTGTAAAAATAACAGAGATCTCGGGCTGCCATCCCAGCCCAACCCGAACTCACCTCTGCCGATTTGGAGAGGATGATCGTCATCGAGAAATTCTGCTCAATGCAAACCTCTGAGACGACGTGAAGCCACTGCGTCATCGTTTCAGATCTCTCACCAGACTCTGATGATACTGACCCCGGGGAACTTATTTTAGTTCTGTCACCAGGTTCGTGTACCTAGAAGCAACCCATGAATGGGAGAATGACCTTCAAGCATGTACACATAAAAGAATGCCAAAACTACGACAAGTGTTACAACTTGCTAATTGAGAAGCATAGCTCTCAAAAATGCACCAGGCTCTCTGGATATATCTTGGTGATGTAAAGCTGTCCAACAGGACAAGCCTTGGCTCCACCAAAGTGCGAACTTCTCTATCTGCTGCTTACCCAAGGAGGTTAATTGAGACAAACTTGAAAGTGCACACAATCCCTGCTTGTTCAACAAGCAACACGCAATAGCCTTTGTGATTATAATTGATTATATAATCTTAACCTGGAGTGGTTGTGGGGGATCACGCTCCTCCTGCGGGACAACCAACCAATGGGCCTTGCAAAAGTCGAAAGAGCCCCAGCAGCCTCTGACAAAGCAAGGCTTCTTGCAGCGCTTTGGTCATTGCATGGTGACGTGGCGTGTGGTGTGTGGTGCATTGTCTTCCTTAAAGTAAATATGCCATGCACCGACATGTCGAGCTGATGTATGGGGTGCTGATGTGCCATTTGCATGCCTGCTGAGTGTGATTCTGTGTGATATGATCTGCCTTGTGCTGTGAGAATGTGGTGCTATGATGCGGGCGGTGATGTTTTTGCAGTGCACTGCACACCGTGCTCGTCTGTGGTCATCTGTGGTCTGTTGCCGGCTGGTGTGGTGACTGATGTTGGCAAGTTTCAGAAACGGCCCCCCTTGGAAGACCATGTTCCTTTACAAACAGGCGGTGTTTGTATATAGTATATATATATATCATGTTATATAATATAAACAGGTGACTAAACAGGTGGTGTTTTTCGCTGGTGTTCCACTTTCATGTTGAGTTAGAGTGTGTATCCATCGTGCATCGTGCACCGAGGCCGCGAGACACCGAGATTCGGCACGTCCGAGACCTCTGGGAGACAACACGATACCCGACGACCTTTGTAACACACTGTATAGCTTTGTATTGGAAAACGGCGATTGATGTACTAAAGAAACAAAACAAAGTACCAACTGAGAGGCATTTTGCCAGCTGCAGCGAGATGTGATTCAAAGACAGCTTTCAATTCATCGCTTCCAGTGGTGCCCCCCTGCAATGATTCGGTACCTCATCCAGCCACTTGCCATCCGTCGAACTAAGCAGTGTCCCCCTGTTTCCTCCGGGCTTGGCATTGAAGGGTGTTGAACCTTCCCGCAGTCACCCTACAGACAGTTCTCTTCCGCGCCGTTCATACAACCATTGAAATCTGTCGTGGACCGGTTCGTTCTCTCTCTCTCTCTCCCTCCATTTCCAGCGTCATGCATAGGTTGATCAAAAGAGTTTCTCACGGCGAAATCCAATGCAAGAAGCTCAAGAAGCGAGAAAATCTCACTATAGTTGCTATAGTTCCAGTCCAACTGTCCATGAAGGAGATGGAGCGACCAGGGTCTGAAAAGAAAGGGTCTTGGCTTATAGCCAGTCTGACTACAAGTCACTGCTTGGGGGTAGACACGAGGTTTACAAGGTTTGCCAAGCTTCTGGTTGTTGCAGAAGAAGCACACCCAAAGAAAGATCTGCGTAGCATCAAGGGACCGTCGCAAACGCCAGCCATCGATCGCGCTGACAAAGTCAAGGAGAGAGTATGCCCAGCACCAAAAGACAAAGTGAGTCACCTTCCCGTTGTGCCTCGCAAAAAAGGCCAAATTCTTCAGTTGAATAAGCCGAAGAAGAGCAAAGTCGATCAAGAGCTAGCGAATCTAGCTATGGGCAGCCTAGGTCAAACCCAGGGATCCTGGTTGACCTGCGAAAATTAACTAAATGGACCAGCAAGGATGTCAACCCATGCTTTGGGATCCAGCTTTCGATGGACAGGCATTTGCGAATTGCTGCCAAGCTTCTCCTCCTCCAGTGAGTCTACAATGCTGCAATTGGCCTGGCCATCTCGGGGGCAGACCTTGCCAAAGCCCAAGCCACGATCTCCCAAGGCTAGTTCGGGGCAAATGCTATAGAAGGTCGGGTTCTCCTCTCCAGTTGCTCTTGTGGCCAGGCCCGGAAACACATGGATCACATAGGATGCAGCAACCTCGGAATCGGCCACGACCCTCGGAATCCGCGTTGTCTAAGAAGCACCCGCCGCAACTGAAGCCACTGGGTGTGTGAAGCTAAGGGGGTACTGCATGGCTGATCTGAATTTTGGTGCTAGAAATGCTTTCCATCATCATGGTCGTGAACAAATCTTAGAACACACCCTAAAAACTCCCAAACAGGGAAGGTACGGCACAAAAAAGAGCTGGGGCAAAGTGCCAGTCTTCGGGAAGCCCATCAAGCCCGTAACACGTCCCAGCCACACCAAGGGTGGAAGCTTCCAGGTGCGGTACAGCACAATCCCTGCAGAGGTGAACCTCATGCTGGGTGCATTGCCAGTGGGCTGAGCGGCCTTCTGCATTGCAGGAGTGGCATCTGTAGCCTCAGTTCGTGGAGAATGGTTTACCTATGGTTCAACTAGCATTGTGTCAAACACCCTCATTCCTCCCACATGCTGGCTCTCTGAGGTAGTGCCCCAAACTTAAAGCCGGGCCATACCCAAAAAGCCAACGCTGTGCCATGCAAGTCCAAGGTGGCAACTCTCCAGGAACTGCATGTCGTGCTGCACGGGGCTCTCGGTGCATTGCGGAGTGCCTTACTGTTGAGTTCCCATGAGTTCCCCACAGTTAAAGCACTGTCCTGCCAAAACTAACTCTCAGAAAACTGCACACAAACTTACCAGTCAGCCCTGAGTGCAAACCCACAAGAACCGCCTCCAAGCCCGATTTGCATGCTGCGTTCGCCACAAGATGGTGTTTCTGTCAACGACGCTCGAGATCTGCTTCGTACCGTCTAGCCAAAAAAAAAATGATAACCTTCTCCACAGTGGTGTATCTGATAGTCCTCTCCATAAGCTTCAAAAAAGCCATCTTCAATTGTCAAACGCAGAACCTTGCCACGTGGCCATTGAGCAGTCATCCTCCCCCAGGAGAATTTGGTGGTTGGCATCGGGGGTGAGTCCCGTTCATCGGCCGAAACCTGCTTTTGGTGTGTGGGTCGGTCTCTCCACAATGTGCAAGCTCCAAAGATTCCCGCAGCCAAAGCAATGGAAATCGAAACACTCAGAACAATTG